GTGTGTGGGTTAAAATTAGGGCTTTCGATTCGGTTCCATTGGTCTACCTGCCTATTTTTGTGCCAATACCAAGCTGTTTTCAGGACTATAGCTCTATAATAGAGCTTGAAATCAGGTATGGTGATGCCTCCTGAAGTTCCTTTATTGTATAGGGATGTTTTGGCTATCCTGGGCCTTTTGTTTTTCCATATAAAGTTGATTAATGATCTTTCCAGGTCCTTGAAGAATTGTGATGGAATTTTGATAGGGATTGCATTGAATCTATAGACTGCTTTTGGCAAGATTGCCATTTTTATTATGTTGATCCTACCAATCCAAGAGCATGGGAGATCTTTCCATTTTCTGGTATCTTCTTTGATTTCTTTCTTCAAAGACACAAAGTTCTTGATATACAGGTCTTTCACTTCCTTGGTTAACATTATCCCCAGATATTTGATGCTGTTTTTGGCTATTGTAAAAGGTGATGTTTCTCTGATTTCTTTCTCAGTCACTTCATCATCTGTATATAATAGGGCCACTGATTTTTTTGAGTTTACCTTGTATCCTGCCACTTTGCTGAAGCTGTTTATCAGCTCTAGGAGTAACCTTGCGGAGTTTTTTGGGTCACATATGTAAACTATCATATCATCTGCAAATAATGAAAGCTTGACTTCTTCTTTTCCTATTTGTATCCCCTTTATCTCCTTTTGTTGTCTTATTGCTGTAGCTAGAACTTCAAGTACAATATTGAAGAGATATGGAGAGAGTGGACAGCCTTGTCTTGTTCCTGATTTTAGAGGAATTGCTTTGAGTTTCTCTCCATTTAGTTTGATGTTAGCTGTTGGTTTACTGTATATTGCTTTTATTATGTTCAGGTACGTTCCTGTTATCCCTGATCTCTCTAGGACCTTTATCATGAAGGGGTGCTGGATTTTGTCAAAGGCTTTTTCAGCATCTAGTGAGATAATCATGTGGTTTTTCTTTCGCAGATTGTTAATATGGTGGATTACATTGATAGATTTTCTAATGTTGAACCATCCCTGCATTCCTGGAATGAAGCCTACTTGATCATGGTGGATGATTTTTCTGATGTGTTCTTGAATCCGGTTTGCAAGTATTTTATTGAGTATTTTTGCATCAATGTTCATGAGGGAAATTGGTCTATAGTTCTCTTTCTTAGTTGTGTCTTTGTGTGGCTTGGGTATCAAGGTAATTGTAGCCTCGTAGAAAGAGTTTGGCAGTGAGCCTCCTGCTTCTATAGTGTGGAATACTTTGACGAGTATTGGAATGAGCTCTTCTTTGAATTTCTGGTAGAATTCTGCACTGAAGCCATCTGGGCCTGGGCTTTTTTTGTTTGGGAGACTTTTGATGACTGCTTCTATTTCATTAGGGGTTATAGGTCTGTTTAGATTATTTATCTGTTCTTGATTTAGTTTTGGCAAGTGATATCTATCCAGGAAATTGTCCATTTCCTTTAAATTTTCAAATTTTGTGGAGTACAGATTTTCAAAGTATGCCCTGATGATTCTCTTGATTTCCTCAGAGTCCGTTGTTATGTCCCCTTTCTCATCCCTGATTTTGTTAATTAGCATGTTCTCTCTCTGTCTTTTGGTTAGTTTGGACAGAGGTTTGTCTATTTTGTTGATTTTCTCAAAGAACCAACTCTTTGTTTCATTGATTCTTCTCAATGTTTTCCTGGTTTCTACTTGATTGATTTCAGCCCTCAATTTGATTATTTCCTGGCGTCTGCTCCTCCTGGGGAGTTTGCTTCTTTTTGTTCTAGAACATTCAGCTGTGCTATTAATTCTCTAGTATGACTGTTCTCCAGTTTTTTCATGTGGGCACTTAGTGCTATAAACTTTCCTCTCAGCACTGCTTTCAAAGTGTCCCATAAGTTTGTGTATGTTGTGTCTTCATTCTCATTGAAATCGAGGAAGTCTTTAATTTCTTTTTTTATTTGTTCCTTTACCCAGGGATGGTGCAATTGTGCATTGTTCAATCTCCATGAGTTTGTAGGGTTTCTGCGATTTGTGTTATTGTTGAATTCTAATGTTAATGCATGGTGGTCTGATAAGATGCAGGGGGTTATTCCAATTTTTTTGTATCTGTGGAGATTTGCTATGTTTCCTATTATGTGGTCAATTTTAGAGAAGGTTCCATGTGGTGCCGAGAAGAAGGTATATCCCTTTGTATTTGGGTGGAATGTTCTATAGATGTCTGTTAAACCCAGTTGGGTCATAACTTCTATTAATTCTTTTGTTTCTTTGTTAAGTTTCTGTCTGGAGGTCCTATCTAGCGGTGAGAGCGGAGTGTTGAAGTCTCCTACTATTAGTGTGTGAGATTTTATGTGCATTTTGAGCTTTAGTAATGTTTCTTTCACGAATGTAGGTGCCTTTGTATTTGGGGCGTAGATATTTAAAATCGAGACTTCGTCTTGATGTATTTTTCCTTTGATGAATATGAAGTGCCCTTCTTCATCTCTTTTGATTGATTTTAATTTGAAGTCTAATTTGTTAGATATTAGGATTGCTACGCCCGCTTGTTTCTTGGGGCCGTTTGATTGGAAGATCTTTTCCCAGCCCTTTACTCTGAGATAACGTCTGTCTTTGGTGTTGAGATGTGTTTCTTGTATGCAGCAGAAGGAAGGGTTCTGTCTTCGTATCCATTCTGCTAGTCTGTGTCTTTTTATAGGTAAGTTGAGGCCATTGACATTGAGGGATATTAATGACCATTGATTGGTGATCCTTGTTTGCGCTTGATTTATTGTTAGTGAAGTTATTTTGTGTAGTTTCTCCTCCCTTTTTCTTTTAGTGTTTTGTAAAGTATGATTCTATATTGCCTGTGTCTTTGTGAATGTAGTTATCTTCCTTGGCTCTAGGTTTTCCTTCTAGCATTTTCTGTAGAGCTGGATTCATGGATACGTATTGTTTAAATCTGGCTTTGTCATGGAATATTTTGTTTTCTCCATCTATGGTAATTGAGAGCTTTGCTGGATATAGTAGTCTGGGCTGGCATCCTTGTTCCCTTAGCGTTTGTAGGACATCTGACCAGGATCTTCTGGCTTTCATCGTTTCCATTGAGAAGTCAGGTGTAATTCGGATAGGTCTGCCTTTGTATGTTACTTGGCCTTTTCCTTTAGCTGCTCTTAATATTTTCTCTTTGCTCTGTAGGTTTGATGTTTTGATTATTATATGGCGAGGTGACTTCTTCTTCTGGTCAAGCCTATTTGGTGTTCTGTAAGATTCTTGTACTTTCATAGGCATATCTTTCTTTAGGTTAGGGAAGTTTTCTTCTATGATTTTGTTGAATATGTTTTCTGTACCTTTAAGTTGAAGTTCTTCACCTTCTTCTATACCTATTATTCTCAGGTTTGGCTTCTTCACGGTGTCCCATATTTCCTGGATATTTTGTGTTAAGGATTTGTTGGTTTTGAGATTTTCTTTGGTTGACGATGCTATGTCCTCTAATGAGTCTTCAACACCTGAGATTCTCTCTTCTATCTCTTGTATTCTATTGGTGATGCTTGCATCTGTGATTCCAGACCGTTTACCGAGCTTTTCTATTTCCAGCATCCCTTCATTCTGTGTTTTCTTTATCGTTTCTATTTCAGCTTTCAATCCTTCAACTGTTTGAGCTGTTTCCTTAATTTTCTTGGTTGTTTTTTCTTGGTGCTCTTTAGATTCTTTGAGAGATTTGTTTATTTCTTGAATTTTTCCCCCATTTCATGGATTTTTTTGTTTGTTTTTTCTTCTATTTCTTTAAGGGATTTCCTCGTTTCTTCTTTGAGGCTCTCCATCATCTTCATGAAATAACTTTTAAGGTCTGTCTCCTCTTCTTCATCTATGTAGTGCTTTTCAGGTCTTGCTGGTGTTGGATCCCTGGATTCTGGTGGGGTCGTGTTGGTGTTTCTATTGCTGAGTGATCTCTTATTCTGTCTTCTTCCCATCTCTTCTTCCAGTGGGTGCTGGTGGGGGCTTTCTGTTTCCACTGGTCTCCTTCCTTACTGCAGCTGAAGCTGAAGCTGGCCTCGCTGGGGTTGGGGTCTTGGAGGGGCTGATCTCTTTCCTGAAGCTGGGCTCGCTGGGTTGGTGTCTTGGAGGGGCTGATCTCTTTCCTGTGTGGGCGGCTCTTCTGAAGCTGGGCTCGCTGGGTTGGAGTCTTGGAGGGGCTGATCTCTTTCCTGTGTGGGCAGCTCTTCTGGAAGCCGGGAGTGGCCCCGAAGATGGAGGGGGATGGGTGATGGGCAGGTGGTCCCAGCCGGGGAACCAATCTCACCTGAAGCTGGGCTCGCTGGGTTGGGGTCTTGGAGGGGCTGATCTCTTTCCTGTGTGGGCGGCTCTTCTGGAAGCCGGGAGCGGGGCCCCGAAGATGGAGGGGGAAGGGTGATGGGCGGGTGGTCCCAGCCAGGGACCCAATCTCACCTGAAGCTGGGCTAGCTGGGTTGGGGTCTTGGAGGGGCCTGTGTGGGCGGTTCTTCTGGAAGCCGGGAGCGGCCCCGATTGCTTCTTAAATCCATTTTATTGGAAAATCTTTTCCTAACTCTTAAATCTGACATAACATCTGTCTTTGAATCTGAGGTGTATTTCTTGTATGCAGCAGAAGGATGGATTCTGTCTTCATATCCATTCTGTTAGCCTGTGTCTTTTTATAGGTGAGTTAAGACCATTGATATTCAGGGATATTAATGACCATTGATTGTTGATTCTTGTTTGTTTTGGATCCGTTTTGGGTAGTGGTATTGTGTATGAGTTTTCCCATTTCTGGCTTCTGGTAAAGTAAGATTATCTATTGTCCATGTTATTGTGACTGTAGTTAGCTTCCTTGGGTTGGAGTTTTCCTTCTAGAACTTTCTGTAGGGCTAGATTTGTGGATATGTAATGTGGAAGTCTGGTTTTGTCATGGAATATCTTGTTTTATTCATCTAGAATGATTGAGAGTTTTTCTGGGTATAGTAGTCTGGGATGGAATCTGTGATTTCTTAGTGTTTATAGAACATCTATCTAGGACCTTCTGGCTTTCAGAGTTTCCATGGGGAAGTCAGATGTAATTCTGATAGGTTGGCCTTTATATGTTACTTGACCTTTTTCCTTTGCTGCTCTTAGTATTCTTTCTTTATTCTGTATGTTTGGTGTTTTGATTATTATGTGGCAAGGAGACTTTTTTTTCTGGTCCAGTCTATTTGTTGTTTGGTAAGCTTCTTTTACTTTCATAGGCACCTCCTTCTTCAGATTGGGAAAGTTTTCTTCTATGATTTTGTTGAATATGTTTTCTGCCCCATTGAGCTGGGCTTCTTTGCCTTCTTCTATCCCTGTTATTCTTAGGTTTGGTCTTTTCACGGTGTCCCATATTTCCTGGATATTTTGTGTTAGGGATTTGTTGGATTGAAGACTTTCTTTTGTTGATGAATCTATTTCCTCTAGTTTATCTTCAGCACCTGAGATTCTGTCTTCCATCTCTTGTATTCCGCTAGTTATGCTTGCATCTGTAGTTCCTGATTGTTTATTCAGCTTCTCTTTTTTCAGCCTCACCTCAGCTTTTTTTTTTATTGCCTCCATTTCAGTTTTCAGGTCTTAAACTGTTTGAATTGTTTCCTTCATCTATTTGATTGGTTTTTTTTCCCTGCTTTCCTTAAGAGATTTGTGGTTTTTTCTTCATTTTTGGGAGGTTTGTTTTTCCTCCATTTCTTTAAGGGATTTTCTCACATTGTCTTTGAGGGCCTCTATCATTATCTTGAGGTTGTTTTTAAGGTCATTATCTTTTGTTTCATCTGCACTGGGATGGTCCAGTCTTGCTGGTGTAGAGTCCCAAGACTCTGGTGGTGTCATGTAGGTTTTTCTGTTGTTTGATATGTTCTTATGCTCTCTCCTTCCCATCTCTTCTTCCAGTGGGTGTAAGGAGAGTCTCTCCCTCTCTTGGTGTGTATGGGTTCAAGGCTCTATTGTCTGTTCTACTCTCTCTCTCTCTCTCTCTCTCTCTCTGTCTCTCTCTGTCTGCCTCTCTCTCTCTCTCTCTCTCTCTGTCTCTCTGTCTCTCTCTCCCCCTGTCTCCTGGAAGGTGGAGGGGCAAGACCAGAATTGTGGCCAATGATGCTGAATGCTTTCTTTTGCCTCCAGGTCCCTCTGAGGGGCTGGGTGGCAGGAGGGATCCTGTGGGCCAGGGGAGTCTAGGAGCGGGAGGTGGCCTGCAAGAGACCCTGAGACTTACTGCTCTACCTGAGGGTGGAAGGGCAAGGTCAGAGTGGTGGGGGATGATGGCAGCTGCTTTCTTCTGCCTTCAGGTCCCTCTGAGGGGCTCGACAGCTCACTATTTGTTTTTAGATTAATCTTTGTCATTTAAAATAATAGAAACCTTTGTGTTTTTTTGGAGTCTTATAAAAATGTAGGTCACATGCAAATGATTCTTTCATAATATGAGTTCACATATGTATGCATAACATATACATAAACATACATATGTATTCATAAATGTGTATAGACATATATTTATTAGACTGGGATCAGACATTTTTAAAATAGTATGAGTGTATATATATTAGGAAAGGATAAATTAGTGGGGGAAGGGACAAGAGGATGAAGAAGTTGCAGATTCTGTCTCCCCTCCCCTTTCCCACTCTCTGAAAGAGGGTCCTCAGGTTTGTGTTCATGACCTGCCTTCTTTGTAGGTTATAACTGTGATTACCACAACAATCCTGCAGACTTTTTCCTGGACATCATTACTGGAGGTTTCTCTGCTATATTAGACACAGAGGAAGATGACCATGAATGTATGTGAGTCTTCTAGAATCACTATTTTTCCTAACTGATTTCATTAAAACACAACTGTGGTTCATTAGAAAAGAGACTTTTAATGTTAATTAAGTGTCCTCCAATTAGAAAATAGCCATTGCTGTCTGTACTTTGTGATTTTATGTAACCTATAAAAGTAAATGTACTCATTGTTTGTCCTATTATTCTTTATATTGTTTTAAATAGCTTGCTTATTATAGCCAGACTGGCCCTGAATGTGTGCCCCTTCTCACTCATATCCCAAGTACAGGTATTAAAGGGTAAATGGGCTAATTTTATATCAATTTGACACAAGCTAAAGTCTTGAGAGGAGGGAACCTCTGTTAAGATAATACTTTCATGACAGTGGTCTGTAGGCATGCCTGTAGGGCATTTTCTAAATTAGTGACAGATGGAGAAGGGCCCAGTCCATTGTGTGTAGGGCTGTCCTTGGGCTGGTCATCCTGGCTTCATCCTAAAGGAAGAATAAGCCACAGAGAGCAAGTCATATAAGCAACACCCTCCATGGCTCTACATCAGCTCCTGCCTCCATGTTCTTGTCCTGTGTGACTTCCTGTCCTGACTTCCATCAGTGATGCAGCACTGTGTGGAAGTGGAAGTGAGATACCCTGCACCACCCCTGCTTTAGTTCACGTGGTCCATGGCAGTAATAGAAACCATAACTAACACACAGGGCTATGTCACCATGCCTGGATTTGTCTATAACATCTTAAAAATAAGATAGATGGCAGTTTATGCATTTGCATAGACATTTGCATATGCATTCACTTGAAGCAGAAAGCAGGAACCAGACTTTAATGTTAAGAAGCATAAATCCAACAGGGAATGAGGACTTTGTTAGGAATCAGGGATGGGAAAAGGCCATTCAGTTAGCTATGTCCATGGGATAATGACAGTAGTTAGGTTAGTTAGGGAAACTTTTCCAATCTATAAATAATTACACAGGAGTAATTTTATTATGCTCAAATATGGTAGGTTTAGGATCTACCTGGTCTGTTGGGATGCTTGCTTAGCATGTACAAAGCCTTGAGTTTGGTTCCTAGCACCACATCACTGGGTGTAAAGGTGCATGCCTGTAATTGCAGTTCTTAAGACAGAAACAGGGGGACCTGAAGAAGTTTAAGTCAACCTAGGCTTCATAACAACTTTGATACAAGTCTAGAGTACATGAGACTGTCTCAGAGAAAACCTGATACATAATTTGTGTTATTCATGAAAAGTGTCTCAGAAAAATCAGTTAAATTATTGTCTAACTTTTTCTTGTCTTTATCCACTTTTATCCTAAAGTCAACAAATATAAAGAGCTTTCTGAAGGACAGCGCCAAGTCACAAAAAACTTAACCAATATGTATGCCCAGTCCTCCTTATATAGCAGAGTAAGAACTGAACTGGATATACTCTTAGAGGAACAGAATTCAGGGAGGAGCTCAGCCTTAGAGGAGATCACGTGTGCCACCCCTTTCTGGCATCAGCTCTGGTGGATTATCTGTTCTTCGTTCAAAAATTTCCTGGGATTTTCATGGGTCATTGTGATTCAGGTAATGTGATGAGTTATTTTAATTGTATTCTGGAAAACTCCAGTGGGAGCAATTTGACTGTGAGTGAGTCTACTTCAGAGTCACACTCATCTTCTACTCCCTTCCATGTGTTTGTCCTCTCCCCTCTACTTGGGGAATATAGAAATTCAATAAAGCAAGCAGAACCCAATTTACTTTTTACTATCAGAAAATGTTTTTAGTGATAGATTTTATTTAGAGGAACTATAGTGACTAATCCAAGTAGGAAATTTAATTCATGGAGACAAACAATATTACAGCACACCAGGGAGTTCTTCACATCTGTCTAGTTTAATTCACCTGTGTGTCTTACAAGTTCAAGTCCAGATCTGAGTAAAGGAGGAAAAGACTTTTTTCCTGATGCAACTTTTCCTGTGGGTGAATGGATGGTAACTGGATAAACAGATGAAATTTTAGTGTGTCAGATGGGAGAATGGACTTGTTAGAAAGTTAAGTTACAAAAGGGGTGAGGATAACTGGAGAAGAGAAGGAGGGATGACCTGTAGTTGAAATTGTGAGGTGAGGAAACAGGACCATTGCACAGCTCCGAGGGAGCCAGTGCATCCACTACCTGAGCCATGAGTCTGCCGTGGGATGCTCTTTCCTTATTGTGTGAATGCAGTAGCTACACAGAGTGCAGTTCACACACAAAAGGTAACTGGATTGAACTTTACTCTCCCCTGTCAGAATGGTGATGAAGTTCTACCATTCTTTAAACTGGCTCTGTAACAAGGATCATCATGTCTGTTATGTTAACTGAATGACACGGAAATGAATTTCTTCAAGCTTACTAGGCCATCACTTACTCATTCGTTTTTATTCATGATGTTGATGATTCTACTGTTAGTGATTGCTCCTGGGGCCTTGGCCACTAGAGGGCAAACACTCTACCCTGGACCTACATCCCTGGTCCTGTACAACAAAGAGTTTGTAGTCAGTTCTGTTATTAGTGCCTTAACATTTTATTCTCAGGCATTTAGTTTCTGTTGAATACTGAAAGGTCTTGTGTTGTTGGCTGTAATGGAAGAGTGTTCTACATATGAGTATTGCCGTTTTTATATTTAAATGTTGCTGCCCTCCCTGAGTGTATATGAATATTCTTTCCATTTGAGTTTATTGTCTGTTGCTCAAATACTTTGGTCTTTAAAATTGTACATTTATATCATAAAATGGGTATTTTTATCTCTGATTTCTTTCACAACCAAAGATTTGATATTATTTGGGAATAGGTGAGTTTTACTCTTAAGAATGAGTTATCCGCTGGGCGGTGGTGGCACACGCCTTTAATCCCAGCACTCGGGAGGTAGAGGCAGGTGGATCTCTGTGAGTTCGAGGCTGGGCTGGACCGACAGCCTCCAAAACAATACAGAGAAACCCTGTCTCATAGAAACAAACAAAAAAAAAGAATGAGTTATCCATTTTGTTCAACAGTAAGCAGTATCACGACAGGAAAAGTGTGTGTGTGTGTGTGTGTGTGTGTGTGTTGGCAAAGCTAGAAATTGTGGAATAATTATTAATTAATTAATTAATTACTGTGTGTTGGTGTATAACTTTGCATCATGTGTACGCCCATGGAGGTCAGAATAAGGTATAAGATCCTCTGGGTGTAGAGTTACAGGAGGTTGTTAGGAGCTATTGGGGTGCTAGGTACTGAATCCCAGGTCCTCTGCAAGAACAGCAAGTGTTCTTAACTGCTGAGCAACATCTCCAAGCCCTGGAATTTTGGTTCTAAATTATCAAGTTAAATGGTAGAATACTTTCCCTTAGATTATAATATTCTAAACATTATCAGAGGAATAATAGAATCTTTCAAATAAGTTACTGCATCATGTAACCTTACACCTCTGGTAAGTGAGGCACCTTTTAAAGATATTTCAACCCCAAACAAAAGCAGTGCAGACTCGGTGTGTCTGTCTGCACAGATTAAGCCAATGGAAGTAGATGAGGGGTTGGATGAGTTGGCAGCTTAGGTGAGACTTAAGCACAGGCTGCTCGCACAACAGTGACAGAGAAGATGGGTAGTGGGAGCATTGAGCTACCCAGAGGACACTGTGTGAATACTTTGGTGACAGCAATACAGCAATAGTGTTCCTTCCTACACAGGCACAGATTTCCAGAGGTGACACAGGTGAGGACCAGATGACCCCTTCTTAGCACACAAAATTCCATTGCTAGGAACTGTATTGTGAGTCATTTTGATATTTGGTTTGCAGTTCAGGAGATCAGCATCTCCTGTATATTGTGCAGAGCTCTGCCCCTGAGCTATCCTCCAGCCATGGGGTGTGCTTGTTTCTAACTATTAGAGTAAAGAGAGCCTGAATTCTTTTCAGTCACTTGCAAGTAGAAAACTGCCCATGTTCACTGGCACCAGAGTTGAGATATCAGTTTAGGTGAACACTTTTTGTCAATTACGATGGTGTGTCCCCAGGTACCTGCATTCTCTTCCTCCCTGTGTCATCAGTATTTCAGTACCTGGGGCCTTCACTGGCCCTTTCTGGTGGAACACTGGGAGAAGTCTTAACTTTTCCAGAGTCTGTCCTGTCAGAGCCTGAGATTGTGGAGCCCTTGATTTTCAGTTTAACATCTAAGCAGTCTCTTAACAGGTGTGTTTTATGTTCTCCCAGGGTCTCTGGCTAAAATACAATGTTTATCTCCCTGGATAAATATGATTAGGAAACCATACGTCTTAAAATAATGGACAAAATGTATAAAATTATTTCTAATCCTAATGGATTTTTTTCCTTTTTTTCCCCTGTATGTTTTGAAAGGTAATTATCACAGTCATAATGGCCATATTTGTGGGAAAAACTTTCCATTTCCTACAAAATGATTGTTATGAAGCCCAGATAAGGTAAGCAAATGATCAAATGTTATTATTTTGTTCAAGCTTATATAAATCCATTAAGAGTTAGAATTTGTGACAAGAACAGAGAAAACACTTTATTATGTGATAGAATGTGTTGTTACCTTGAAGGTTGAGTGGAAGAACTCATTCTTTCACGTATCTGTGAGATAGTATGAGTCTTTACACACCACACATTTCATATTTTACCAGTTTTAGTGTAAGTAACAACTTTATGTTATGTGACCACCACCACACTCTAAATGTAGGGCATTTCTTCATCTTTCTGAATGGAACACCATAGACATGAAAGAAGAATCCCCATTCTACCCACTTCTGATTCCAGGCATCAACCATTCTGCCTTCTGTCATTGAATATGACTATTGTTGGATCCTTGAATTGGAATCACACAGCATCTTTTGTGTGTGTGTGTTGTTTTGATTTTGTTTTTATTTGTTTTGGCTGACTTGTTTCCATTGGCATATTGTCCTCAGGGCCCATCATTGTGTGGCATGTATGGAGATTTCTTGGGCTCTGTAAGGCAGAGTAATGGTTCATTATATGTATTTACTGTGATGATTACCATTCATCTGTGACTGGACATGTGGTTTGTTCTCACATTTGGCTGATACATGCCATCCTGTTGAATGTGAAAGCACATCAGCTTGAGCCCTGGACTTTACTCTTTAAGGTAGAAAGCTAAAGTTGAGAAATTATAGGACACTGTGTTAATTTGAGGAACAGCTGTCCTGTCTCCAACTCCACTGTAATATTTGTATCCTCACCAGAAGAGCACAGAGGCTCACCCTACTTATGGTCTTTCTTGTTTGGAATAAGATGTCTAAGGAAAATAATTTGTGAACCACTGAATGTTTTATGAAGTGTCTGTAGAACCCATTTTCCCATGTTAAACAGGAATGTTTTTTTTTACTCCAAAATTATTTATTTCTTTAGTGTGGGTATGTGTGTCCTACTGCATGCATGAGGAGGTCAGCAGATAATCGCAAGAGCTGATCCCTCCACCTCATGGGCTTCAGAGGTTTGTACTCAAGGTCATCAACCTTGGTGGCTGTCATTTTACCTGCTGAATCAGCTCTTAATTTTCCATGGCCCCTGATTTTCCCTGCTATTGAGTTATAGTCATTTTGTTTCTGAGATGTTAATCCCCCTCTAGACAGATGATCCACAAACATTTCTTCCCTTCTGTGTGTTGCCTTTTTATTCTGTTTATAATGCCTTGGTACATGAATGTTTTTAGTTTACGTATTTATTCTTCTTTTGTTACTCAGGTGTCAGTGTTCTTGAATTTATTTGGATTGTTTGAATGTGTGTGAGTGTGGGGTAATAGGATAGGACTCAGTTTTTCCTGACTTGTCTTATAGATGTCACTTTTGGGTCCTTGTCTAGTTTGAGCTACAATGTAACATTAAAGATATGCTTTCATGTTAAAACTTTTTAATGACTATAGTATGTTTCAAACATAGTTTCTCTTCAGGATCACAATTTTCAATGTAATTCATGTGTGGTACATCAGTGTTTGCTCAACTGTGCTCCCTGCTTGACACCCACAGTCTCAGGGTACCACACAATGGGCAGAGAGCTTGACCATGCAAGTTCTTTGAAGAAAACTAAAGTGTGTGTGTGTGTGTGTGTGTGTGTGTGTGTGTGTAGTTTTGTGTGTTATATGTACAGGTTTGTGTGGGGTGCATTCATGTTCATGTGTACACATGTGCATGTTGGTGGGCGTACATGTTTCTGCCATGTATCTGCATGTGTAGGTCAGAGGTTGATGCCAGGTTTTCCTTGATGACTCTCCATTTTTGCAAGGCATGTCCCTCTCTGAATATGAAGCTCATTGACCTGGCTAGGCTGGCTGGCCAGTGAGCTCCAAGACTCCAAGTCTGTACTCTCGATCACTGGAGTTACAGTACTGTGCCTGGGTACATTTACATGGGCTCTAGACATCTGAACTGAGGTCCTCATGGCTGCATGGCAGACACTTTGCTGAATGGGCCAGCTCCAAATCACCACAAATTTGTTTTGATGTGTTGAAAACAACAGTTAATTTTGGAGAAAAGAAAACCATAAAAATAACTTCTGTGAGTGTCCGTCTGTGTGGATCAGAGGTCAGTCTGCAGTGAGACAGTTGTTGCAGCTGTTTCCAGTCTGTTGTCCTTTCATCTTCCCTGAAGACGAAGATCTGAAAGCTTTTCAAATCTAGTACTTGGTTTGTGCCCTGTGCAGACTCCACATTCTAACTTGGCATAGCATAGACAAGAATGTAGATGGTGTAGGCACTGTCACAGGAAGCATTCAGACATAAACTCTGAAAACTGATGATGAAATGTTCTTGGAAAATGCAGACATAAAGAAGACCTTTATTGACTGTTTCTTCATATTCTTTTTGGAAATTGTATCATGCTCTTAATTTGTATATTTCCCTTCCTCTGCAACCGGTATTTTTAAGAAGTTGGTCTGTGGGACAATGGCATTTGTGTGTAGTTTATTTCAGTTGTCCTGATTTGTGTTTGATTCTTTTGATTAGTTTGATGGTTAGTTTTTTGCTAACATGGCACCAGCAAGAGTCATATGGGGGGAGGAAACTTGATTTAAAAAATGAACCTGTTAGATGAGTCTGTGGAACATTTTCTTGTTTAATGAAGGATATGGGAGGGGTCAACCCACTGGAAGCAGTGCTATCCCTAGGCAGGTTGTTCTGAGCTGTATAAGAAGCAGACTAAGAAAATCATGAGGGGTAACCCAGTATGGAGCACTGTTCTATGACCTCAGATTCACTTCCTGCCTCCAAGTCCTGCCTGACTTTCCTCTTGGTGAGATTGTGACCTGAAATATGTAAGCTGTATAAGTTCCACTTTCCTCAGATTATTTTTGGTCAGGATGTTCATCACAGCAAAAGAAACCTATGTAGGACAGTTGGAAACACTTCCTCAACATCTTCTGAAGAATAAAGCTATAAATTATTTTCACAGTAAATAGCAATACCTTTATCATCAATAATGTTCTGGACACCAGAGATGCTTCTCATATTTGGATCCAGCATTGCCTTTGTGCCTTGTCCAACTGTATAACTAGGAACTGGGTTTGAATTTTGTGGCATATGAGCTCCATTGGCTCAGTAGCACTATAGGGTTGAGGTGGTAAATAAACATTAAGGAGAAGGCATTAAAAGAAATAATTGGATACAGACATTTATCCAGTACATATTTACATACTCATTGAAAATCATTTACCCACAATGCATGTGAAGTCTGATGTACATTGGAGAGATATGCACAGTGACCAAGTTAAGGAATTTAAGTGTCTACCAACAGATGACTGATACAGAAATGTGACTTGGAATGCTGCTTATCATTAAAATGGAATTTGTAACAATAAGAATAGAATTGAAGATTTGAATAACATCTTATAAAATAAAATAACCCAAACCCAGAAAGACACACACATTTCACTTTTGTGGTCTATAAGCAATTGACCTCCAGGTAGCATAGTGTACACTAGTGATTGCTAGGGCAGAGGGGAGCGGGGAGACACATATGGACTAAGAGTTTAAAATCTGTTAAACATGAGAAGTAAGATTTTATTCCTTTGAGATACATTGTACAGCACATTCAATCCAGCAAATATTAATACATATTTCAAAGTTTCTAATGTGTTACCATAAAAATGTTGTATGTTTCTAGTGATGGAAATCACCTAATTTAGTTTGATATAATTATTTTACAACATTGTTCATGAATCATATTACTTTTATACATTAAATGTGTAGCTATAGGTTGCCAATCTACAATTTTAACATCTAAAAATTCAAGTCAAAAAGTAGATGTGGTATATATGGTTAAGTATAATCAGGGCCACAAGGTTCCTGGTTTTGTTGATAAAAACATGAAAGGTAAGCACAATGGAACTTGAGGACAATAATGGAGACAGAGACATGGAGAATTCCCTGGTCACCATGGGATGGGTGTGTGTGCGGGAATGGAAAAGTGGAGAGAGAGAAAGCTGTGCATTTAGTAAAGTTAAACAGATGATCCTTGAAAGCAAAACTGGCTCATTGGGAGAAGAGGAGAAGCCCAGGTTGTCTGCTCTATGGTTGGTTGTTGGGTACCCATGTTCTCTTGTCTATGGTTGGCCCAGTCCTCTGCTTTGTTGTTGATCATGGGGTGCCCAGGTGTCCTGCTCTATTATTCATCATGGGGGACCCTGGTCCTCTGTTCTACCGTTGGTCATAGGGTGCCCAAGTCCTCTGCTCCGTTGTTGGTTATGCGGTGCCCAGGTCCTCTGCTGTACGTTTGGTCATGGGCTATCCAGGTCCTGTATTCTTTTGTTGGTTATGGGGTACCCAGATCCTCTGCTCTATGTTTGGACCTTGGAAGCAAGGCCACACTTGTGACCTGACAGTTCCAGAACTTGTCATGTAGCCCAGGCAGTTCTCTTGCCTCTGTCTTCCAAGTTCCAGGAGTCCTACAGTTCAGACTTTCTAATCTTCTCAGAGTCTCACCAATTCCTAGGTTATCACTTCCTTTTACATCCTTTCTATTTAATCTGACCTTTGGTAGAGTGTAAAATGGAATTTTTCCTTGATAAAGGAGGAAGCTACTTTCTAATAAGGTCCCCCCTCTTCTGATCTGATGTCTAACCACCACTGTGTACCTAAATAAAGTCACTGACCCCTGACTGTCAGTTGAAAAGATGCTATGTAGCAAGCTGTTAGGTCCCAGTTATGCTGTCTCTGTCTTTGTAAGCACTTGAGTGGGGATTCCTCCACTGTTTCATATTTCCATTCTTACCCTTCTATAAAATCAGAGTGGCCAACAGAATTTGAAAACCGCTAGGAGTTTTATTTGTCTTTATGTTCCTCTCTTTATACATTGGGAAAGATGCTTACCAACTTTGTTAGTTAAACTGAAGTGGTGGGTTGAGATGCCATGACTAAATATCACAGGTCAGTGGTTTTAAAAGCAAATGTGTCTCCACACTGCAGTTTAAGAGTCTGTGGTGAGTATTCTCTCCAAGGTCGTCTTGTCTATCCATCTTCTCTCAGCATATCCTGGCAGACACTACATTTTTGTTCTTCCCATGATAAGGACAGAGATGATATCATGGGTCTCCACTCTCAGGATTTCATCTAAAACCAATTCACTTATAAATTGCATACTCTAGGATCATTATATTAAAGGCTGTTATCAAAGTGTTAGATATTAAGTGACATACTTCAATTAATAGACATCTCTGTTGAGACAAAGAGGAAAATAACCATGGGTCTCATACCATCTGTCATTTAACAAGGACAGTTCCACATTTTCCTTCTTTATTTTTTAAATACTTATTTTATTTTATGTGTCTTAGTGTTTGCCTACATGTATGTCTGTGTACCATGTATGTGCCCTGAGATGTGTGGCTATCAGGAAGAGGCACTGGATCCTGTATTAGTTAGGGTTATTATTTGTCTGATGTAACACATGACCAAAAGCCAAGTTGTGGAGGAAAGGGTTTATTCAGCTTACATTTCCACATTGTAGTACATCACTCAAAGAAGTCAGGACAGGAACTCAAACTAGGTAGGAGCTGCTTACTGGCTTGCCTCCCATGGCTTGCTCAGCCTGCTTTCTTAGAACGCAGGACTAAAAGGTCAGGGATGTGCTGTGTTGAATGCATTTTGTAAGCTCTGAAAATGTATTTCTCTCATTGGTTGATAAATAAAAATGCTTTGGCCTATATCAAGGCAGGATAAAGCCAGAAAGGAAATCCAAGCAGAATTTGCTGCCTGAGACACAACATGCCAGCAGATTGGTAATGATATGGCTATGTGGTAATACTTACATTAATATAAATGGGTTAATTTAAATGTAAGAAATAACTAATAATAATCCTCAGCAATTGGCCAAACATTTATTAACTCTCTGAGTGTTTATTCATGAAATGGCAGGAGGGAGAGAGCTGTCACATTACAGGGATGCACCACCCACAGTGGACTGGCCACTTCCTCATCCATCAGTAACTAAGAAAATGCCTTACAACTGGAACTTATAGAGACACTTTCTCAACTGAGGTTCCCTCCTAGATAACTCTAGCTTGTGTCAAGTCAGCATAGAACTAGACAGCACAGCTTCCCTTGAACTGGAGTGATAGATGACTGTGACCCACCATGTGGGTGCTGAAAGCAAAACCTGGGTCCTTTTCAAGAGCAACCAGCATTCTTGACTGCTGAGACATTTCTCTAGTACTGATTATTTTAAAGAATAGTTCTATGTAATGTTATTCAATCTACAAAAGAAGATGTGTTACAAAGAAACTGTCCTAATGTTAAATTTACTGTTGCTTTTACCTCTATTCTCTCCTGGCAGAGCCACCCTGCCATATGTGATAACAGTCTTGCAGTGTATCATAATCATATATCCTCAGAATCTCCTTGTGATTAAAACGGATCGCTTTCTGTGAGTAGCTCCTGTCCCAGGCACAGGCATCAGGGGCTGGTGATCAAGTTGATTATGTTCATAGTTAGAACTAGCATGTTATCTCATTATCAGTCACTTCCCCTTTTCTTACTTACTTAGTTGAAGATAAACACATTGTGAAATTTTGTGTTTATCATGTGATATCATGATTTTGGAAGTATGTAGTAAGATTGCTGATATTAATGAAATCTGGATGAGAAATCAGGAGCAGAGGTGTGTGGTGCTCAGAGAAAGTTTCAAATTTGGGGTGTGGTAACCAGATATCAGTGCTGCAGACAACACAGCAGGAGAAGACTGAAAATCACAGGAAATTCGTGACCCCCACAAAGAAGATGTGAAGGGTTTCATGGAACTTCCGTGTAGTGGGTTTAGCAGCACATTGGAGCTGGAGAGGTACAGCTGTGTAATAATGAGAGTGAGCACAGCCTGGGGTGGAGAGGTAGGAAGTGCCAGACGGCAGCTGTGTAGAAAGAGCTGTTTATCTCCTGTGTTTTTCATACATGGAAGAATCTTTGCCCAGTGGCCTGTGCTTAGGATTCACTGCTCTCAAAGGTAGCCAAGATTTGCCCAAATACATGCCAAGAAGAGGAGACATCAGAGAGGAGCTGAGGGCCTCGCTCAGTGTGTAGAGTGGTTGCTTTGTGTGCATGAAACCCTGTGTTTGATTCACAGTACCACAAAACCATGAGCATGGTCATATAGGGGTGGGGTAGAGGCCAGAGAATGGGCACTCTTGGGTACATTTGGAATTTAATTCCAGCCTACACTACTGATCCTATAACAAAAAAATCAAAGTCACAGTGAACTCACTAGGATGGGAAGAACTTGGGATTCAGAAGGGCCAGGTAGGGTAAGAATTAGGTTTGGTATCTGGTAAAGATTAGTGGTTATAAAAGAGACTGGTGAAGGAATACATCTGTCCTAAAGTGAGAGTAGCCTAAGAGAAGGATGTAGTGTCCTGAAGCTGTACTATGACCACAGAGTGAGAGTGTCGCCTTCTTCATGAAAACTGGAAAGACACAAGTCTCCATGACCACAGTGTGAGGTGAGGTATGAATGAGCTTCTCCTCCGGGAGCCAGCGCCAGAGGGGCAGAGTCTGAGGAGAGTGGGCTCATCAGACTGTTCCCTGGAGGGGCTCTTGTGTGGCCAGAGTGGACAAAAGAGGGGAGAGTTTTCTGATTGGGATAATCATAGTGAGAATGTCATAGGGATGATGGCCTAAAGATGCTGGTCCATAACATGGGGACCTGTATGGGAGTCAGAGTGGAGCATAGGGGACACTGTCCTGTTAGGTTCCCGGTGGTAGCAGAAGTAAGTGTAGCCAGCATCCCACCTGTGCCTTCTAGAGTAATCTAAGGATATATAACATGATCTTTATCTCTGTAGACATGAGCATGCCAGTGGATACTACAGAATGTCATCATATTTCTTTGCGAAATTGTTAGCTGAACTGGTATCCAGGAGGTTATTGACAAGAATTATATTCACTGTTACAGTACTCAGCATAGCAGGTAATTGACTCTTGGGTGAGCATGGTTTGGTTTGTACAACTGTGGCAAGCCTAAAGTAGAGAAGCATAAGTAGAAAAACATGTCTCTAACATGCTATCTAACACAAGTGTTCAGCAAGAGGAAAGTCTCTGAGACTTGTTCACAAAATACTACAAATGCTGTTTGTGAAACTGTGATTTAACTAAGAGATTCTGTGTAGTATAATGACTGAATAAATAACATATATTTGAGACAGTGCCAATGGAACAAATTAATTATTACATATCCATCCATATACATTTTATGTGCTTATGGCCTTGATCCTAATGGTTTCCTCAGTCTGCTTTCATATAGAACCTAGAACCACCTGCCCAGGGATAGCATCAACCACAGTTGTCTAAGACTGCCCACATGAATCATTCATTGAGAAAATGATGGCAGAGCCTTGCTTAAGGGCCAAAGTAATGGAGGCATTTTTCTTAATGATGTTGGCTCTTTCCATAAGATCCTAGCTTGTGTTATATTGACAAAAAACTACCAGTAAGTCCTGATTCCAATTTCATTACTAATTGAATTATATAAACACAAGAAATGTGGACATGAACATGTTCTACTTCTGCTTCTCCTATAAGAAAATGCAGTAAAATTTTATCCAGTTGTGTTGCCTGTAGCTCCCCATGCCAGGATCCCATAAATTGCTCATAATTATTTGTAGAGGAGAACAGGTAATATAGGAAAAGGTATTTTGGGGCAAGCATAAAAATAAAGCCATATGATGGGGCTAGAGAAAGGCTCATTGGCTACGAGCACACGCTGCTCCTCCAAAGTCTCCAAATTTGGTTCCCAGAAACCACATGATCAGGTAGCAGATGCGGACTCAGAGAAGTTGGGTGGCTTTGAAGCTGTTACTGATCCTGTTGGTTATTAAAGTATTACCTGAAATATGTACAATTCCCTTGACTTAGGTAGAGGAACTGACCCCACGTTTATCTTTCTAAGGAAACATAACAGATGTGAAGGTATTCTTCCGTATGTTATTTACCATCATGATGTTGGCTTATTCTGCCAGTTACCTGAGATATATAGGAGCAGGGGAGAATGCAACAGCTGTACCAAGAATACTTTTGGCGTTCTACTTTGTGTCCATTCTGGTGAGTGTGATTTGTGTTTTTCTGAGAGGAAAACTTTCCTTGTGTTCCTTCTTGAACATGTACATGCTTGACACATTAGGACTTGGGACATGAAGCCTTATACTAAAGCTTATTATGGTCTGTAGGAGAGAAGGAGCAGTCTTTCCTCCCAGGCTTTGTGGCTACTGCTCTGATGTCAGTTTGATGAGTAAGAAAACAAAGAATGACCCAAGAAACCATGAAAGAAAGAAAGAAAGAAAAAGAAAGAAAGAAAGAAAGAAAGAAAGAAAGAAAGAAAGAAAGAAAGAAAGAAAGAAAGAAAGAAAGCTTTATTGGGTGTACAAGTACATGTGTCCCAAGTTGTCCCTTTTGGATCATCCAAGAAACCTTTAAAATTGACTTTTAAAGGGAACCTGAAAATAGCCCATTCCCTAAAGGACATACATAGTGTTGGTAGAGTTCATTTTGTTTTTACTTTTGATAAGTGTGCACATAAAACTAATGTAGAAATTGAATAATTGGGTAAACTCTGTTAACTGTACAGCAGGTACCCAAGGAGTGATTGCTACTCCTGTGTGACAGGACATCCCCAGGTTCAAGTAATCTTTTCCATTAAGTAGGACCCTGTCCTACCAGGGCAAATGGCATGTTATTGATTTCTGTATGAGAGGAAGACACATAAGGTGGTAAAGTGTGCCAGAGTCTGTTGCTCTTGTTCCCAGATATGCAGACAGGCCTACTGAAAGCCTCTTATTGATAGAGGAGATGAATTATTCCTCACACAACAGGGGGATCTGTTCTTTCACAAATGATGGTGATATCCCCAATGGTTGATGGTACCTCTAGCTGTTTTGTGTGTCAGAATTATTCTGTTAATCAGGGTCTTTTGTATTTCCATGCAAAATTTAGTATTTTTTCAATTTATGTGAATTATATTATAATTTTGATGGTCACTGCATTGAATTTGTCAATTGATTTTGATAGGATTGATATTTTCTATTTATCGTACAATCTATAAGCATGAGAGGTCTGTCTATCATCTAGTATCTTCAGATTTCTTTTTAGCATCCTGAAGTTTTTATTATTCAAGTTTTTCATTTAGCTAGATTCATTTCAAGGTCCCCCATCCTCCCTCTTTGAGATTTTTGTGAATGACATTGTTTCTGTCATTTCTTGTACACTGTGTTTGTAATTTGTACTTGGAAAAGCTCCCGACTTCTCTATGTTTGTCATGGTATTTTATCACAGCCACAGGAAAGGAACTAGGACAACAGGTTATTGAATAAAGTTTCTATGTGGGACCTTAAAACTAGTTTTGATGCCAAATGTTTTATTTTCTGTATAAACATTTGGTCAGGTGCAATCTGAATGCCTGCACGTAGAGTCACTGTTTTGCATATTCAGGTGTGCTTAAGAGTAGATAGGACGCTGGGCGGTGGTGGCACACGCCTTTAATCCCAGCACTTGGGAGGCAGAGGCAGGCGGATCTCTGTGAGTTCGAGGCCGGGCTGGACCGATAGCCTCCGAAACAATACAGAGAAACCCTGTCTCGTAAAAACCAAAAAAAAAAAAAAAAAAAAAAAAAAAAAGAGTAGATAGGACAAATTCCTTGTGAACTTCAGAGGTGCCCCTTCTCCATCCCCATCCGTGCTTTCTGGCATCTCCATGTGATTCTGTGGTTTGGCAGCTTTTTAAATGGGGATTTGTCACTTTCTGTGCTGCTCTTCACCGCACTGTGTGGTTTATCAGTTCTAGTCTTGAAGTTGTCTGAAGATGGTATTTTAATTGAATCCAAAATTACTATTAATATCATGAAGAGAGAGACAAAACTTATAAGCAACAAGACTTATTGATTCTTGGAAGTAAAAGTGGATATGTGACGTTCAGTGTTTGTACTACTTAGGGTTTCTATGGCTGTGAAGAAACACCATGACCAAAAATCAAGCTGGAGAGAAAAGGGTTCATCCGGCTTACATTTTCATATCACTGCTCGTCACTGAAGGGAGTCAGAATAGGAACACAAACAGGCAGGATCCTTGAGCCAGGAGCTGATGCAGAGACCATTGAGGGTGACACTTACTGGCATTTTTTAGTGACTCACTCAGTCTGCTGTCTTCTAGAACCTAGGATGACCAGACCAGGCATGGTAACACACACAACTGGTCTTAGCCTTGTCACCTCAATTGCTAATTAAAAAAATACCCCACTGGTTTGCCTACACATGATCTTATAGAGGCACTTTCCTTTTCTTCATTTTATTTTACTTAATTAACTTTTTTATTCATTTTACATATGAACCACAGTTTCCTCTCTGTCTTCTCTGCCTGCTCCCTCCTGCTAACTCCCATCTAACACTTCCTTCATCCACTCCTCCTCATTCTCCATTCAGAAATGAGCAGGCCTCCCATGGGTGTGAACAAAGCAAGGCACATGAATAAGGCAAGACCGAGGCCTACCTATAGACATTTTCCTAATTGAGGTTCCCTACTCTACAGTGAATTTAGCTAATGTTAATTTGATGTAAAACAAGCCAAAACAGTTTTATTCTATCATATGTTCCTAGATGGCAGCAGTTTTACTAGGATCGTCACTACAGTTGGCCTGTAATCTTGTCAAAGATTCCACCAATCACATCTTGAAAATACATGAAACAAATGATTATTCTGCTCTGAATATCATCATCCCCTGTATTATACAGTATAAACAAACCATTTAGCTACATAAATTAGATCTTATAAGGAATCTAAGGGGAATTTTTAAATATGTAAGATGGGTATATTTAAAGTTTAAAGAATTTTTATAGGTTGCATGCCACTTTAAATATAATGTAATTTCTGTAGATTTGGCTTCTGCAAAGGGGTTGCAGGATCTACTTAAAAAATACCCTTGGCTTTGCAGAGTGAAAAATTCTGTTTCTGTTTAGACAACTGAAAGAATGATTTAAAGAGCTGGTCTGAGAAGAAATGGTCAGAAGGAAGAAGGGGTCTTGAAAGGAAGTTCTTGTCTAGAATTCTTAGGCACTGGACTGGTTTTAATTCGTGGTTTTGCTCTTCACAGCTTTCCTTATTTCTGGAAATATATTCAGTAACCTTACAACCTGGGCTTTCACTCTTGAAATACATTAGCATTCTTCATTATGGATACACAGTAAGTTGTCCTGTCTGTCACTGTACTTGGCTTCTCCAACTGTAGCAACTGACATGATTCCCAACCATATCCTTTCCCTAGCTGTAATCTCTAACTCACTGTTGCCCAGGATTCTCCTTACAGGAGCTAAAGATAAGAACTTTCCTGATTGTTTCACCAAGGGCCAGTGAGTCATCTAGGGTTTTCCCCAGGCATATGTTATTTGAAGGAGATAAATGGTAAGAAAAATCCCAGGGTAAAGAGGAAATATAATTGATATTATAAGAAGCATACAGTTGTGATTATGCCCAATAAAGAAATAATGAAAGGATGAGGGACTGTAATATATAGTTTACATCAAAAAACTAAAGTGATACCCACAGCTATACTGGCTTTGCCAAGCTTTCTCTGCAGTGAAGTGTGTCTTAACAGACTTTACTACTCCAATAGTCACAACTGCTTTTAATGAAAACAAGCAAGAAATATTGTTACTATGAACTAGTATAATTGTTTCAATTACAGTGTTTACATGGTTATGGACTGGGCAGAGAAGGAGGTGCTTGAGGTAATCTAGTTAGAGTTCACCTCTTAGTAGTTGGGAAGATCCTTCATTTCAATCCTAAGCCTCTTAAGTGGTGAATGGGTACTGCTTTGCTTGGCAGACTGAACTTTGTGGGAGTTTCGTTTAAAATATTGTTGAGCCTGGCAGTGGTAACTCATGCTTTTAATCTCAGCATTTGGGAGGCACGTGGATCATTGTGAGTTGAAGGCCATTATGATCTACAGAGAGAGTTTCAGGACAGGCTCCAAAACTACGGAGAAACCCAATCTCAAAATACAACACAACACACACACACACACACACACACACACACACACACACACACACACATTTGACATTACAGTAAAGATTAAATTTGATTGATTTTATAGCTGTGTTTATTCTTTGGAAAGTTATGAAAATATCAAACTTTTTGTCTTTTCCTCTTTTTGTTTGTGTTACAGGCTCTGCTGCACAATGAATTCTTGGGACAAAACTTCTGTCCAGAAGACAAAAGAGCAGAAATCAGTAGTTGTCAGAACTATGTAATGTAAGCTTGAGTATCACACTGAGGACATAGCATGTGCCTAGACTTAGAGGGGAAACCCATCCATTCATTATTAACACTCTGTCCTCTGCCCATTCTCCACAGTGAGTCATTGTAAGCAATGCACTTGTGGCTGTGTTTCCATCCTACTGTTCCATGGTATAGACAATATGCAGAAAATGTTCTTTGGGCCTTTAAAAATGGTTTTGGTGTCTTGATTGTGGGTTTGAGTTCCTCCTTTCAGAACATTTGTGTCTCACATATGCTGCTCTGATAGATCACAGGGCATAGTTTGTACATGTGTAGATTATGGTTCATGTGAGCAGAGCCCAAGAATGTCAGGACAGCAAGAGCAGCAAGGGCTGAGCTGTGCCTGCCAGATTCCAGGGTCTTCCCTCTGCCTCATACCCTGGAAAGCTTCAAGAAAGCAAAGACCCGTGTGTGTGTGTGTGTGTGTGTGTGTGTTTGTACAATATTCTACCACAGGATGTGTCCTGTAATGAAAGAAACACATATTTCAGTAGTTTGAGAAGGAAATCTTAGTTTTGTTTAATGCCATTAAAATAGAAACACAGGTTTATAAAATTAAAGTGTATTGTTTTAATGTAACAATACAACCCTTTCTATTATTGCTCTCATTGATTTGACTTTGATATATCAGAGATATATGAGAGAAGAGCATGTTGGTATGTTAAATCTCTCATGGATGTTCAAAATAATAATGAATAATAGTAACCCAAATCAATGTTTGAATTATTGATAAGAAAACAAGTAGAGGGGAATATCTTATTTCCCAGTCTCTGCTGGTGTGTTCTCGCATCCTTCTAATACAAATTCCTTCTCAGTGTCTTGTCAGAAGGATGGGGATGGGGGAAATGAAACCAGAGGAGGATGGACCACAGACCTCATTCTGACAGGAGGAAGAAATCTGCCCTTTCAGCAGATTTGGGGATTCTTAAATCCTAAGAGATACAAAGGATGGAGACATAAGAATGGATACATACAGACATAGAGACACAGGGATGAAGATAAACAGGAGATAATTGTAGTGTATCCAGAATTTTTAGCAGCAGCTGCTTTTCTATCTTGTGTTTCACCATCCTGATGTACTCCAACCACTATGCAGGCTCGGTCTGTAGCCATTGGCTGCTGTGGATGTTCCATAGCTGAGCGTACATGGTTGTCACTGCTGTCTTAGTACAGGAGCTGACAGTAATTGACTGACTCCTGTCAGAAACCCTTAGTCTCCCCCTGGTCCTCAGTCTAGATTTTGATGCTGTGGTGTTTTTGCTTTATTGTCTACTGAGTCAGCTGAACTGAACAATGCTTTGATATCTTAGAGTGTCTGTGTATGTCATTAGGAAGCTGAGGTTTTTCCTCCAGGATAACAGTGCTTCATTCATGCCTTTTCCCATTGAAGAGAGAGCAGCATTGTAGATTGAGAAATAAATGATACAGTGAAGACAGTGAGACTACAAAGTTGCATCATAGTACAACTCTATAAATTTGCCCAAGTTTCCTGAGTGTACTTCCAAGGCTTGTAAATAGATGTGATAGCTACACCTCTTTGTATAGTTCTTAAAACTAACAAAGGGACGTATTCATGTAGTTTGGATTTCATAATATATAACAAAATAGTAAGATCATCATTACTTACCTCAAATATAAAGAAGAAAATTTTAATGATGTGTTGAAACTCTGAGTTTTTGGAATGAAGTCAATGTGCTGAATGAGCTTTGACATTATTTTTGTTTGTGTTTATTACAGATGTACTGGTGAAGAATTCTTGATGATCCAGGGCATTGATCTCTCACCATGGGGCTTTTGGCAGAATCATGTGGCCTTATCTTGTATAATGATTATCCTCTTATCAATTACTTATATGCAGTTATTACCACAGAAGAAAGTAGGCATTCTTAAGTCTGGCTGGAGGAAGTTTCAACAGTTGTTTAAATAGATGTGATTCTGACCTATTCTAAATACTAATACTCAGGAACAAGTACTAAAGCCAGCATTACCCAAAAAAATCACACTGTAATGAACGGTGATGAGTTCAGTGACTCATGGATGCTAAAGTGACACTTGAATGCTTCCCCCTAAACATGACATATATTCCACACCCTCTCTAAAACTTGGTGCAGTGTGGAAATGGGGTGTAGGGGTACAGGAGCCAGAAGATGGGAAGAAAGGCTGGAAACCATTGCAACCATGGTCTGTCTCACAAAATCTATAGCTCTCTACACAAGACAGGGTCTCTCATCAGCACAGCGAGGATTGGAAAGGGACTCAACAGAACAATACTCCCTTTTGTCCAACTGTTGATACTGGTAGATTATGGAAAACAGGCAGTCACTGATTTCACATGTATACTCACAGACAGCAGCTAGGCTCCTATGGATAGTCTAATTCCCAGCTCCCACAACTCTGTGAAACTTGGTGGATCACAAGATAATACCCAGATATGAATGTGATAAAGGGACTCATAAAGAGGGGTATTTGAAGGGGCTGGAAAGGAGATAAGAAAGGAGGGAGGGAGAATGGCTGAAATTTATTATATACATATATGAAATTGTCAAATTTTAAAAATATTATAAGTATAAAAGTAAATTTTGTGCAAATTATCTAATTAAAACTTTCTCCTATTTGTTTTGTATTATACTGTAATTCAGCAATGACTATTTCTTTTAAAGTTTACAAACACAACACATTAAATTTTCAGTTAAGGAATCCTAGGCTAAAATTAATGTTGTTAAGTATTGCATATTAGCTCATCTCATTGACAAAAATCATGAGAGGCAATCAATCAAATTATTTGACCTGGAAAAGGATAACTTATCCTAGAAAATCTTACATTCCTAAGATAATTTGTATCAGTTTGTTCACCTTAACAGTGAGAACATAAATTGTCTTCCTCCAAATGTAATAGCCAATAATTCCTGCCCCAGCCATTATCTGCTCCATAAGAAATGAACCAATTCTGCCTTAAATGCATGGTTCTAAAACATGTTATAGAAACTTCTAATTATAAGAATAAAAAAATCAATGAACTTTGTGTGGTGATCCATGCTTGCTGTAATCACTTGGGAGGAGGAACAAGAATTTAGTGTCAACCTCAACTAGATAGTATGTTTGAGGCTGTCATGGACTACAAAAGTCTCTACTTCAGAACAAAGCAAAAACAAACAAACAAAACCCCATATAATGAGTGACCATAATAACATCTTTGATGACCTGATTAAATAAGATTTATGGATGGTGTCTTGTTAGAGTATCTATTGCTGCAATGAAACACCATGACCTAAAAGCAAGTTAGGGAAGAAAGGGTTGAATTGGCTTGCACTTCTATCTACATCACTGTTCAAAACTGAAGGAAGTCAGATGGACATTAAAACATGGCAGGAAGCTGTAGGCAGGAGCTGATGCAGAGGCCATGGAGAGGTAATGATTGTTGGCTTGCACATCATACATTTCTCATCCTCTTCCTTATACAAGCCAGGATCATCACTGAAGAGCTAGCCCCACTCACAGTCCCTGGGCCCTCCTCCCTGATCATTAATTAGAAAATGCCTTACAGCTGGATCTTATGAAGGAATTTGCACACCTGTGGCTCCTTCTTCTCTGATGACTCTAGTTTGTGTCAGTTTGTCATAAAAGCAGCCAGCCAGATAGATACAACTCTTTGGCGATGTAATGGCTCAGGAGTCTTGACTGGAGCCTTTGCCTACTATAGTTGCAGTAAAAAGACAAGGGTCCTCTGATATTAAGTGGCTTTTGTGACTTTTCGAGGTGCTCTGATCTTTTCAGGGTTAATTCAGTAGTGTATAACTTTGCAAGAGGCTCTCCCGAGGAACAGTAGAGAGACACATGTTGGGGCCCTGTCTTACACATCAGCATCTGTAGAAACTGCCTCTTGGAATAATTATCCACTCCTAGATCTTCTGGTTACCAAGAACATTTGCAACCCTAGAGATTATGCTGTTGTATCTGCACCTTCACAGGTTGTCATTTCCCTTGGGTTTCTATAATTTATATTCATATGGGTGTTTTTAAGCATCTTACAGATTGATGCACAATGGAACCAGAATTCCAGTTTGGCTCTTGGTGCAGACTCAGTGTGCCCTTAGTTCTTCCTGTTGGCCCTTCCAATGTTCCTTCTAGACCATCTGCATTTCTTTGTGACTATGTTGACCCCAACCTTTCTCTAGCAGGGACCCACAGCTGCCACACTAGGCTAGTACTCAGGTAGGGGATCTTAATTCTCCTTCCTGGCCTCCATTCTTGTCTCTCTAGACTTATCCTAAGACCTTCTGTAGCCTGTCCATATGAACCACCACACATCCCAAGTCTATCTCTACCCACAAGTGTATCATGAGTTTTCTTGCCCATCTGGGTTCTGCCACCCTTGAGCCCAAATAACCACATGGACGTTATATTAGTTACAAAAGAGTTGGCCAATGATTAGGGCTTCTTATTGGCTACCTCTGTCTTAATTGTTAATCCATTCTATTAATCTATATATTTCCAAGTGGTCTTGTCTTACCAGAGAACACCCAGATCTGCTATTACATTGCTGGCTACATGGAAACTCCTGTCTGCCTACACTTTCCCAGAATTTTCCTTGCTTGGTAGCCCCACCTATCATTCCTACCTGGCCAATCAGTGTTTTATTCACCAACCAATAAGAGAAACATATATACAGAAGACATTCCCCTATCACACTAAGGACCCAGTCTTTTGTTAATGACACAGAGAACTGCTAACTCTTCCCTGCCATCATGTCAGTATACATTCTAGCCAAGCTCTATTCCTCTGTGAGTATCTGATGATCAAGAGAAGACTTCTCTCAATAGGCTGGAGTTTAGGACCCAAACACTGGCCACACTTGGCTAGCACCAGAGTGGGCAATAGCAACCGAAAAAAAGATCATAATTCCAGATGTTTAGATCCCAGTACAGAAAACACAAACATGACCAACCAGGACATTATGCCTCCTCTAGAATCCGGAAACCCTATCAAAACTGTGAAAAACGATCTACTGTAAGATCTACCAAGAAGCCTCTTGGTTTTGGACCCAAAGAGCACTACATATTTTGTCAAAGATACTGGCTCATTATGTTCACTGCTTCTCTATTCATAACACCTGAAGTTGAAAATAGCCACTATGTTCATCAATTGATAAAGAGATACTGAAACTGTGGTACATTTACACAATAGAACATTATTCAGATGTTAAGAGAAATGAATTTTCAGGTAAATGGATGCATGTAGAAGCAATTATTCTGGCAGAGCTAACTCAAACCACAGAAAATATAAAGTGCATGATTTCTTTGATATGTGCATGGTTAGCTTTTAAGCTTTGGACAGCTGCACTTCAATATGAATAACAACAGACATTAAGTTGTTAGTAAGGGACCAGAGGTGATGAGAGGATCTTTTAAGGAAGGAAAAAAAAGAATATAGTGTTACAAAGTGGTAAATGGAAAACTAGAATAAGAGAATGTAATGTGGGGGATATGGGAAGACAAGGTAAGGGAAAGGAATAAGGGAAGTGATAGCTAACACTAAAGGTTATTTGAAAAGTCATATACAAACTTATTACCATAGAAGCACCCTAAAATATATACACATATGAAAATTTAAGTGGAGTCACAATACAATACAGGAGACAAGACCCCAAGAAGACATTTTATGTCACCAAGTAACATGCCACCTTGAGTGCAAGTAATGGCTTATATCATGTTGAGCCATTGATCAAAGGAGTTCCTATGGGTTTCAAACACCATAGATTATTTAAAAGGCTATACATAACCTAATAGTAGGACCCTATTTCTGAAGACTCCAGTTACATCATTGAACACAGAAAACTCAAGCAGATATGCAGTTAGAATCTTCAACCTTATTGCTAACATTCATGGTGCTTGGAGGCAATCTGAATGCTCCTAGAGGACAGCATAACCGGTATCAACCAGTGACAAAATCTGTGACCGCCATCAGTAACATGCATGCAAAAAATACTGGTACAATAGTGGCACAGACCTTATGATTGTAACCAAACACCTTAAAAATAGGTTTAAGATCCACTATAGGAGATGAAACTTATATCTGACACTGCAAAAGTGGCCAAGAACCTGAGACTACATTGGCCCTGAGGCTTAGGGGAAAACCTACTATTATTTCTCTAAAGAAATACAACACACAGTGATTCTTAATGGCATATGCTGTATCTACAGGCTAGAATATTGCTCAACCCCCATCACAGAAGTGTCTTTTGCAGTAGATGTAATTCACAAGGAGGTCCACAACTGGACAATGTATACATACTGAGATACTTTATAGCACACAACACTATATAGGATGTCTTCATCAAACCCATCCCATTGAGGCTCAGAGGTCTATGCAGAAGAGGAGGTAAAAAGGATTTAAGAGCCAGAGGTGGTGGATGACTCCAACAAAACAGCATCTTCAGAAAAAATAGGACTAATGTACATAGGAACACACAGAGACTGTGGCAGCATGCACAAAACCTGCATAGCTCAAGCCAGACAGAATCCCAGCACTGAAAAGGGGAAGAGGACACAAAATCCCACCTCTAATCCAGAAGCTATGTGCAATTAGAATCTTCTGGGAAAAGGAAAATCAGTTTTCTGCAATAAAGTGTCACTGAGCATATCAGCTACACTCCAGGGCAGGACCCATGCCCAGGGGAAATTAAGTGCTGGTAATTTTGTGTTGTTAATTGGCCAACATGAAACAGAATCGTTGTAGCTTTGTGGAGTTTTTTGTTTGTTTGTTTGTTTGTTTTGGTATTTATTGCCTTACTTATTTTCTTTAGTTTATTTGGAGTGAGTTAGAGAGAGAGAGAGAGAGAGAGAGACAGAGACAGAGAGAGAGAGAGACAGAGAGAGAGAGAGACAGAGAGAGAGAGAGAGAGAGAGAGAGAGAGAGAGAGAGAGAGAG